CTCCCCCAGGTACAGATGATTGCGCCGGGGCAGCGCCCGGTACCGGCCCGGGTCCCCAGCCAGCTCGGCGCGTGGCGGCAGCGGCACGGCCGGGAAATACATCGAGTAGTCGCACTGGGACTCCATTGGGCGGGGAAGGCGACGCGACCCGAGACCGGGCCGGCGGGGAGCCACGGGACTGGCGGGAGCTCGGCCGGCGAGTCCCGACACCCGAAGGCCGCCGCTCCTCCCGGCAGCGGGAGACACCAGCCCGGCCCGGAAACCAGGGAAACGAACCCGGAACCCAGACCCGGCGGCGCCGGAACTGGGGTGCAGGGCTGAATGACTGGAGAAAGACCGGAAGCGGAAGGAAAGGGGCGTAGTCTCTGAGGTTGCTTGGAGCGGGTTGGTTTTGCGGTCGAGAATGTACGCTGCTGAGGAATTTGTGGGAGGCTAGACAAGCTTCTTTGGGTAGAATTTATTTTTATTTGCCCCTCCTCCTTCTCCCTTCCTTCTTTCTTTTTCTTCCCTCTCTCCCTTGCTGTCTTCCCTAATTTTCTCTGTTCCCCCTCTCTCATGCTTTTTTTCCTTTTATGACAGGGCTTCTTGTAGCCCAAAGTGGCCCTAAACTCTCTCTGTCTGGCTGAGGATGAACTCAAACTTTTGATTCTCTTGCCTCTGCCATTCTCCGGAGTGCTGGCATTACAGGTATGTGTCATCAGGTCTGACTTATGCAGAGCTGAGGATTGACCACACGGCTTCATGCATGCTGGGGAAACACTCTACCAACTGAGCTACCCCTGTCTTTTTCTTGGATTTTTTTGGTGGTGGCGGCGGTTGTTTTTGGTGGTGCGTGTGTGTCTGTATTATTGACATCATGAGCCTCAGCCTGATGCTAGTCAGTCGTTTTACCAAAGGGGTTTTATTCCCAGCCTTGAGGAAATATTGAAAGAAAAGAGAACGCTTTCCAATCCAATTTCTATCCAACAAAAGAATCTCCATCCCTCCCGCTTTGAGAGCCCTACATAAAACAAATAACTGGGGCCTGGAGAGATGACTCTAAGGTTGAGAGCACTTGCTGTTCTTGCAGAAGACCAGGGTTTGGGTCCCATCACCCACATGGTGACTCAGTCATTGGTAACTCCAGTTCCAGGACACCTGTGGGCACCAGGATGTGTGTGACACACATTTATACATGCAGGCAAAATACTCATTCACCAAAAAAAAATATTTTTTTAAAAAAAATAAGTAAACTTTTCATAGCATTTATTCATCCAACAAATATCTTCACAGTGAAATCAACACAGCTCCATAACAAATATTTCATAGAGAACTGGATGTATCATGCCCCAACTTTCTCTGGCTCACTCTTCTTTTGCCCCTCCGGGGGGCTTTGGGGGAAGTGCTACATAAACCTGTCTTGGGGCTTGAAGAGACAAAGTGGGCAGCTGGGGGTGGGAGGCAGCTGTTGCTGGAATTCCTACAGAAAAGCCAGGCAGCTCAAGTCTCACCTTAGAGCAAACTTTCTGTTCCTTCCAAAGGAAGGGAAGATGCGTCGTGTGTCCTCATCTGTCATCCCATACCTATGGGGGCAGTAGCCCTGAGGTCTTGAGAGGCAGGGAGACTGTAGGGGGAAACTGCTTGGCATCGAGTTTGTCCTTGTACTGCAGCTCAGGGGTAGCCAAGCGTTCACATTCCTCTTGGTCTTTCGGGCTCAGTCCGCTCTGAAGTACGTAGCCCAAAACTTTAGCTGAACCGAACTGGAAAGGACGGAGCTTTACATCGGTGATGTATTTGGGGTCTAAAGCCTCACCTCCCATCAGGCAACGTTTAGCCAGAGCTTCTCTTCGAGCCCGGAGCTCAGCCACAGCACGTTGCAGCCGGCTGCGGCCATATTGCTCTATCCGCGCCCACAGACTACGGTTGAAGTGAGTATAAAGAGCCCAGTCTAGGTTATTCCAAGCTCGGGCCCGTGCAGTCAGCTGCTGATCTTCACCATTCAACACACTCTTGTTGGCAGCCCCGAGCCTCTGCTCACCTGCAGCCTGGGCATTGTGCATGAAGCCCACCACGTCATCCAAACCCCAGCACAGGGCATCTGCCAACAGAACCAATGACTCGTCAAAGTACTCAGCCACCATGACCAAGTCAAAGACAGAATCCAGCCAGGCCAGACCCCACTGGATAAAAGATGAGGGCCGGAAATCTGAAGAGGCAAAGCCAGCTGGATGTTGGTGACTATTAGCAGCTGTGGTCACAGGCTGGAAGAGAGTTCCAGGGCCAGCGGCAGAAGGTATAATACGCAGCTGGAGGGGGCTGGGGTCCCTGGGTAGATGAGGACTCACTCTCGTCTCTGGGGGGAAGGGCAACCCAAAGTCGAACCATAGTAAGTTGCGGGCATAGTGGTTGCCACGGCCCCCGGGTCTGTAGAAGGCTCGAGGATTGGACAGGAAGGCAGCCAAAGAAGGTGCCTTTCGGAAGGCTGATGAGGTTGACTTATAGTAGGAGAAGGCAGAGCGTGCTAAAGCCGCTGGATCTCGGACAATGGAAAAGAAGAAGCTGTCAGAAGGCATGACCTGAAGTACCTGCAGAGAAAAGAAAGAGCAGACACAGAGAAAGCTTGACTGAGTAGAAAATAAGTACAAGCTAAGGCTCTAGTGAGCCCTGGGAACTCTGCTCCCCCCCACCCCCAGCTTCCCTAACTAGCTGGGTGTGCTTGGGGGAAGTTATGTAACACCTCTAAGACTCAATTTGCTTCTCTGCAAAAAGGATGTAGTCAGGGGTTCCCAGGTGATGAGACGAATGCACAAGATAACAGCTAGTCAGAAATCCGGAACCCACAAAGCTCTAAATCATTCATTTCCTTGGGCCTTTGTATCTTCTTTAGTTGATAAAAACTCTCAAACCTAGGGCTGGGGAAATGGCTCAGTCAATAAAGTGTTTGCTACACAAGCATGAGGACACAAGTCCATACTCCCAGTACCCACATAAAAGCCTGGCACAGCGGTGCTCACCCATAAGCCCTGTGCCAAGGAGACAGAGACAGGGCCATAAGCCCTGGGAGTTGGCTAGCACACACCTAAGAACCAGACTTGGTGTTTACTTCTACAATAAAAATCCATTTGTATTCAGTTTTTGCATGTGCATGTGTGTAAATGTTCATGTCTGTGCACTTGTTCGTGTGGACTCTGGGGGAGAATCTCATTTCCTCAGGCATCATCCACCTTTGTTTTCAAGACAGGATCTCTCACTGGCCTGAGTGAGAGATCAACCAGGCAAGGCTGACGAGTCAGGGAGCCCCAGGGACTCTCCTATCTCTGCCTCCTCCGAGCTGGGAACACAGAGTCTGCTACCAAGCCCAGCTTTCTTCCATGAGTTCTGGAAGTCAAATTCAGGTCCTAAAATTGCTTGCATGGTAAGCATTTTACTCTACCTCCCCAGCCCTGTCCCTTTTTGAGATAGGGTCACACATACATAGTCCAAGGTGACCTTAAACTTAAGGCTCAGCCACCTGAGCATTGTAATATTGTAATTACAGACAGGTGCCAACATGGCCAGTACACACACACACACACACACACACAAAATCCTGTTAAATGCCTTTTCTGGGACTCTTAATCACAGCTTCAAAAAAAAAAAAAAATAAACAAAACCAAAACCGGTTGGCCTGAAGCTCCTCAAAATGGAAGGAGGGAGAAGGAGGGAGACATCAGTGGCAGGAACTGTGTTCTCAGGCCAGTCCAAGATGACTGCCACACAAGGCACTTCTGTAACTCCAAAGATCTTGGAGAACAAGCCACTCCTGAAGTAGGGCACTGGCGGGAGGTGGGGGGGTGGAGGGGACAGTGCTGGAAAATGGGTAAGACTAAAGTATGGCATGTGTCTATTACTCAACAGGTACCTTGAGAATCAGGCTTAATTGTGCTGTAGCATAGCCCTGCAGACTGATTGACGTGTTATGTTAATAGTTCCCATACTCCCCAAAGGTATCTACCCTGAAAATGATTTTTATCATGGAATCTAACCTTTCTGTATCACAGTGGCAATTGGTAATAAGTCTGTGCTTAAGGAAGTTTTTAAAAATGAGGATCAGGGGCTGGACAGATGGCTCAGTGGTTAAGACCTTGTATGCTGCAATTGTGAGAATCGGTGTTCAGATCCCAGCACCCATGTAGTGAGCCATGTATCTCTACAAAAGCCCATAAGCCTGCCTCCAATGGGGGCAGAGACAGGAGGATCACTGGGGCTTGCTGGCTTCCAACCTAGCTGAGAACCTAGCCCCATGTTCAGGGAGGGACCCTCCCTCAAAGGAACAGGCAAAGAATGATACCCGAGAACTCCCTGCTACCCTTCTAAGTGTCCTTGAACATGCATAGGCACACATTCACTCTCTCACACACAAATAAACCAATCTTCAGATGAATAAAATAAATACAATTGAATCAATCTCCAAAATGATAATAGGAACTTATTTGGAATTTATGCTGTTATGCTATGCATCTGGAAACTATATGAGCATATATATCATATATATCAACAACAAGGCATTCCTCAGTCTTTAACCATCCCTCCTAAAAGAGAACAAATGGTTACATTTCTCATATCAAGAAATTTCACTCCCCAAACTCCTATACCACCCCCCTCAACTCTGCAGGAGACAGCCAGAGAACAAACGACCATTTGTGAATGACCATTCATAGATTTGAGAGAGGGGCTACATAACAGAACAGACTAAAAATTTACTGAGAAAAAAAATTGATTTTTTTTTAAAGGAGCTACAATAGGCTGGGGCAATGGTTCAGTGGCTAAATAGCTGCCGCACAGGTGTGAGGACCTGAGTTTGGATCCCCAGCACCCATGCAGATAAAGCTAGATGTGGGAGCATGCCTCTGTTATCTCCAATGGTGAGGAGGGAGGTGGAGATAGGTGAGTCCTCAGAAACCCACAGACCAGCTAGCCTGGAGTACATAGCCACAAACTGCAGAAAAGACCGTGTCTCAAATGAGGTGGCATGTGAGAACTAACACAAGGCTGCCCTCTGACTCTGACTGCCACACATGAACTATGGTACGCACATGCTTGGATCAGTTATGGACACACACATACTACAGCCGAAGTTGTGTGTGTGTGTGTGTGTGTGTTTAAGAGTTATGCCTTTCTTTAACCGAATGTTTTTCATTTTCTTAATATGGCAATGCCCAGGGGGCAGAGCCTTTGAACTCTGGCTTTTTGGAAAGCAGATGATAGTTAACTGTCCCTGGCATCAAAAATAACCATTCCCAGTTCTGCCATTTACTACTTGTGTGACTTTGGCTTTTCACTGATGTCATCAGAGCCTTTGTGTCTTCAGGTATAAGTCTGGATTAGTATGCCTGGAAGAATGTGGAAGTGCCTGGAACATGGTAGGTAGACCATGACGGTCATCTCTCAGCCATTAGAGGATCCCAGTGCAGTGGTCACTGGCCCACTCTTAACGGTAGCCCCTTGTTATCCAGCAGTGGCCCCTTGCTGCCCCTGACATCACCTTCACGGTCCTCAGCTGTCTCTTCTGCCTTCAACAAGGGTGTACCAGGTATAGTACTCATATATGTAATTCTAGCCTTTGGAAGGCTGAGGAAAGAGGATAGCCAAGAATTCAAAGAAAGCCCAGGGTACATAGCAAGAGCCTGTTCCAAAATAAAGTGTTTGGGCAGTCTCTGCTATTCTATTAACTGCACACACTCTCCTGATACACACATATATATACATAAATCATCATGTCTTTGTGATGGTTTGCTTCCTCTAAGAATGCCCAATCTGGGCTGGGGATATAGCTCAGTGGGAAAATGCTTGCTTAGCGCACGTGAGGAATCCCTGGGTTCAATCCCTAGTACTTCATTAAAAAGCAAACAAAAACAAAAACACCAAGAATATTTGATGTTTACTGAACACTGTGGCTCACACCTATAATTCTGGCACTCTGAAAGACTGAGATAGAAGGACTGCCGTGAGTTCTAGGTCATTCTGGGCTGATGGTGAGTGTCATAACGCTAACTATCACACACGCACACACACACACACACACACACACACACACACACACACACACACACACAGAGAGAGAGAGAGAGAGAGAGAGAGAGAGAGAGAGAGAGTTCCCCTGGAAGACTATCTCACTTTGTAGAGTGCTTGCCTACTGTTCACAAAGTGCTGGGTTCCATCCCCACAACTGTATAAACTGATAGTGGTTTGTGCCACCTGTACCCAACACTCGGGAGATGGAGGCAGGGGAATCAGTTCAGTATCATCCTCAGCTACTGAGTTTGAAGCTAGTCTGAGCTACATGAGATCCAGTATCAAATACAGATAGACAGACAGATCCAGTATCAAATATAGACAGACAGACAGTCACACACGAGACAGCAGGAAGCATAATAAGCCTTTCCTCGAAAACCCCTTCTGATCTTTCTTTTAAGTTCCTCGCCCACCACATGAACCTCTCTGTTCTCCTGCCAGGTGCTCCTTATCCCTCATGGTGCTAGAATTACAGTGTGAGCCACCACACCCAGTGCCCGTGTGCTTTCTGTTTCTCCTGAAAAGCATTCACTGGTTTAAGCATGTGAGAGAACGTGTTCATCTCTCCGATAAGATGTCTCCTTTGGGGTCAGAGCTCGGGTCTCTCTTTTGTTGTTTGTTTATTTTTGAGATAGAGGTATAGTTATGCAGCTCAGGTTGACCTTCAACTATTTTTTATCTTTTTGAGATTGGATCCTTCTGGTTCCATCTCCCAAGTGCTAGGATTTCACACCTGGTTTATGTGCTACTAGGAATTGAATCCAGGGCCTTATACATGCTAGACAAGCAGTCTGTCAGATGGGCTACATCCCTAGTCTGACCTCCAGAAGCCTCCTGTCTCACCTTCCCCAGTTCCAGGATTACAGGTATATACCATCACACTTTCAAAATGTCCAACTCTTCTTTCTGTTGAAGGCTTAACATAGAACTGACATGAAGTTTCAAAACACGGTTTTTACCCATAATCCCAGCACTAGGGAGATGGAAACAGGATGATCCTGGGGCTCGCTGGCCAGTCAATCTAGCTGAATCAGTAAGTTCCAGGTTCAGTAAAAGACCCTGCCTGTCTCCAAAGCTAAGGTGGAAAGGAAGACACATATCTGGAGTTGACATCTGGCCTGACATCTGGCCCCCACAAGCACACACATCCTCCACACACAGATCCCACTGTAGCTCTGCCCCAGGCGGAGGACACTTGGAGAAAGAGCAACAGGAAACCTCACCTTTATATCCTAGGGTCCACTTTGTGGGTGAACCCGCATACCAAGGATGAACCCCTCTTACAGGTCTTGACCACAAGCCTGAGACTTCTTGTCCATTCGTCTCCACCCTCCCTGTACCTCCTCACCTCTTTCAGGTTGAATCTCATGTGGTGACAGAGGATATGGAAAGGCTTCTTGGTGTCTGAACTCTGGGGATGGTAACCTTTGACCTTAGAGGCCTGGAAAAGCTTTGGGTAGCCAAACTGGTAGTGGGCAGGCAGGGCAAAGCGTAGCCCCTGCTGGTCCCCATAGCGATGAAGCAGATTGAGCACAGAACTGCTCCCAGATTTGTGTGTCTTCAAAAACACAAGCCGCTGTCGGGGTAGGCAAGACTTAACAGTTGGTCCCAGTGAAGGGATCCAGGACTGTCGGAGCTGCAGCCCCGGTAACCTGAAAAGAGAGAGGAAACGGAGTGTCCTGCCCCTTGCCATTATGTGGAACAGGTGGGTCCTTGTGATGAATGGGCAGTAGGAATGACCTCCCCCTCCCCGCCCCGCCCAGAGTTTACCCCCTAGAGTCACACATCCTCAGGTGGGATTAAGAGTAGGTTGGGGGTGGGGTATAGCCGGAGAGGTAAGGCAGGACGGTTACTCACCTCCTCTGGAATGGTCCCCCTAAGAGCTGGAGGCCAAATCCAATGGTCATGAAGACTCCCAGAGCCACCCCCAGGCTCCGAGGCCTCCAGAGCCTCATGGTCCTGACAGGAGACAGAGGACCCATGTGCCACAAGGCAGGTGACACTAGGCAGGGACAGAGCCCGGGCCAAGAGCCATGGGTGGCAGAGACAGCTTTAGTTGGCTGCACAACTGTGGAAGACACCTTTTGGAGATCAGGGGCTCATTCCCCAGGCCTGCTCGCAGCCCTGGTTTGGTCTGCCCCCTGAGTTAGCAGATTTTTGCCTCTGTCAGCGTCTAGAAGGGAAATGAGGGGGGAAGGAGAGGAGTCTAAAGAGAAGGGCAGAACCTTTTTTCTTCTTCTGCCACTGAGATCTGAAGCGGGGATGGTGAGTGGCCCAGGGTGTGTGTGTGTGCACCCTTTACACCAGACTCTTATAGATGACCTGACATCTATCCCTTGTTCTGCCAAACCTGTGTGTCTTCACCCACCCCCCAACTCTTCAACTGTACCCCTCTCCCAAACTTGGGATATTTGAAAGGAAAGGAGAGAAAAGTCGGGACCCAGATCTCAAATGAAACAGACACTAAATGAGATAGAATCTCTTTGTTCATGACCTTCCTTTCCATCAGGGCATTGTCAAGCCAGGTCCTGGCTGCCTTCTGAGTCCCTCCGTCGATCACAAATAGGAATGAAGAACCTCTCTCCTTCTTGAGCTAGTTCAGGGGGAAGCCTTAGAAGGGAATGGGGTCGAGGGAACCAGAAAGGAAAAGGTTGGGTAACCTGGAGGAGGAAAGGGGCGGATGGACATAGAGGAGTGGTGTGAGTCACTGCTCCTGCTGTCAAGGCTGTTTCTCACTCCACCAAGGCAGACCCCAAGTTCTAAAAGGGACTGGTGGAAACGTGGGACGACAGAGCCCCTGGATGCACCCCATTCCGCTTCTTAATCCTATCTATTAGTGCACAGAGAAGGCAGAGAGAGAGACAGAGACAGAGAAAGAGAGAAACAGAGACACACACAGAGAGATTTTGATTGATTTTCTTCTTTCCCAGACCCTAAACTTCCTGATGAATTTGGATTTATCTCCACCTTTTCAGATCACACCCTACAATCAAAGATCAAGATCCTTCCAGCAAGTGTTGACAGCCTCCTTCCCTGAATTACCAGGGTGACCCCAAGCGAAAAGAATCCAAGCTTGCTATCCAGGGACTCGCCTCCTTCTGGCATTATCCCCAACTCCCTCCCCCACCACAGCCCCCAGAATTCAGCCAGCAAACTCCAGTATCCCGAGCTAAACTTTATTTCCTCCCATCCACCTCAAGCTCTTCTCATTGCCCTCATCCCGGCTCACAGTCCCCTCTGCAGCTTTGGTGACTGCTTCATCTGTCGTCAGCCCTTTGTAAAGGGTCTTCTGAGAATCCTTCAGGTCTCCTTCCATAAATTCAAAGGTCCCTCCACTCGTCCCAGCCTCAGCTTCTCTAGCCACTCACCAGGCCACAAGGAGAGCAGTGGAAAAATCAGGTCGGGCTGTCCCAGCCACCGCCCGGCTCCTCGGATCAACTTTCCCTACAAACTTTTCTCAGCACCCAGACTCCTCCCCCTCCCCTCCCTTTGTCCGCCAGCCCAAGTAGCTGCTAACTTGCTTGCTTGGGCATTGATCCGTTCTCTCTGGGTCTCTCCCCTCCCTGCTCCTTTATGCCGCTTTACCAATCTACTGGGGAAAAGATACCCTAGCCTGCCTTTGAAATGCCACTTCTACCCTCCTTTCAAGAAGGAATCAGTTACTTTTTTTTTTTTTTTGACTTTCCACAAGACAAAAGATTTATTCAGGTGAGAGAGAGAGAGAGAGAGACAGAGACAGAGACAGAGACAGAGAGATAGAGACAGAGACAGACAGAGAGGATAGTCAAAGTCTGTCAAGAATTGCCACTCTTACCCCGAAGGCAAAGGCAGTGGTGTGTTAACATAAATAGACCTGGTGTACTGCACATTTTACAGCTACTTCCTCATGTGATTCCTGTTTGATCTTCACAATTCTTTTTTTTAATAGGCTAAGATATTTAGACCTCAGTCTTGGGAAGTCTGGGGTTGTTCCTTAGGGCTGCTTGCTCCCAGGGAACAGACTTCAAGGGACAAGAAGCAGGTAGAAACTGAGCCAGTTACAGATGCCCAGGAGGGAAATTAAAGAGTATGGAAACTGACTGCAAGAAAAGCACTTGCTCCACATGCGTAAGAACCCAAGTTCAAATCCCCTGCACCCATGTGAAGAAGCCGGGCATGGCCACAAGTGCATCTGCCTGTAACTCCAGTGATATGGGATGGGTGGGGCATAAGAGGCGCACTAGAGCTTGCTCGCTAACAGCCTAGCTCCAGATTCAGAGAGAATGCCTTCTCAAGGGATTAATGCCCGTATAGAGTGAAACAGCAGGACAGATTTCCTCCTCTGGCCTCTGGGTGTACACATGCACACACCACACATACACGCACATGTATAAAAAGCCACACATATGGTCCAATAAATTATTATTTATTTACCTATAAACACTGACTTTAATGCTGAAATATGAAATGGAAACTTGTGAAGGATGTGGATGGCAAAGGTCATAGGATGAGCCCCCCTCCCCCATTTAAGAAACAGATGCTTTTAAAGAGTCAACAGAACCCAGGTCCATCTCCCCCATCCCCATCCTCTGTCCCACTGTCAACACCTAGCTTTTGTGTGTGTGTGAGAGTTGTGTCCCCAACTCTCAGTCCCCTTGCCTCAAAACTCCCAAATAATGGGTTTACAGGCACGTGACATCACTCCCAGCTAGGTTTATTTGTCCATTTTCAATACCAGGTATCCCCCATGCCAATAGTCCCCCCTCCCACTTCCAAGTTCCTTCAACCTGTTCCCCAACAGCCCACCCCCTGCCTTTTGCTTCAGTGAGCCCCACACCTTAAAAGAGCTGAACCACACTCCCTTCTTAAATAAATATGAAAAAATAAATATTATGAACACCCATCTACCTCCAGCCCATCAACGGGAAACTCCTGGATCTGGGGCCCCAGCCATTCGCCCACAAAGTCCCTTTCTACTTCTCTGTAGCCTCCTTCCACTCGTCCTCATGCTCAGCTGAGGAAGGTGGAGAGGAAAGGGCCATTAACCCTTCTGATGCTAGGGCACCCCTCCCTGGTTATCGAAGTCCAAGCAGGGTCAGGGCTGAGGGAAAGAGGATGATGATGAGTGGAACATGGGGACCAACAGACGACCCCAGATTCCTGCTCCTGCCCTGGTTATATCTGGCACTGCCACTTCCTCCTTTGACCCCAAGGCCATCCCTTCGAGGAGGGCGAGGTGGCCTTGCAGGCCTGGCTGGGGGAACCACAGGCGCTGCCCCAGCTTTCCAGTCATCTGCGTACTGTTGTCCTCCTCCGGAGCCGCTGGCATCTTCATCTGTGCAGGTAGAGAGGAACAGAGGTTGATGCAGAAAGGAAGACAGAGAGGTAGGAATGATGCATATGGAAGGGAAATTGAGGCAAGACACAAAGGACATGTTTGTATATATAGGCATGCATGAAACTGTCAAAATGAACCCCATTATTTTGCATAATTAATATACAAAAAAAGAGATAAAGAGAGGCAAGAGAAGGACACACGTAAGAGTGATGGACAGGAATGCCGGGGGAGGGAATGCACAATCAGAAATCAGAAGCCAAACATGGAGTTGGGACAAGGTAATGAGATGGGAAAGCCAGTGTCAGAAGGGTACATCGGGAGAGCAGACAAGAAGTCACAGAGAACAAAAGCAGAGAAACGGGTGGGGGAGGAAGGAGCAAGGAGAGTGACCAAGACAAAGACTAAACCATGAATGTCTGTTTCTCTTTTTGGCTAATCTGGGGGTGGACGGCAGCCCAGTGAGTGGTACCACAGCTAGCTTCCCTGTCCCCCACTACTGCTCTTTACAGTAAGTTTCCTCAGTGTTCTCTGTGGGAATGTGTCTTCCACTGCAATCAAGGATGGAGACCTTTGGGAGGGGTTTAAGTGAATAGGAATGACTGAAGGAGGTAAAGGCGGGGCGGGGCGGGGCTAACAGGGCAATGAGTGGGAGTCAAAGGGAGGTGGGCGGGAGCGGAGGCGCAGTGGGGGGGGGGGGTGGTGTCAGCGGCCACCGGGAGTCCCAAGAGCAGGTACTTGAAAGGGCCATAAGCGGACAGGGAGGTAGTGGGCTGGGCTCCAGAGCAGTGAGCTGGCTTTCAGCAGAGGCAGAAGTTAGAGGGCAGTGGGCGGGACTTGAGAAGCAATGGGCAAGCCCCTAGAGGAGACTCGCTGGACACCGCCCCTAGGCGGGGGCAAGGGGCAGTGCCGGGTGGGTTTCTGGGCCTCACCGGCGTCGTGCATGTCAAGGTCCTGACCCAGGGCAGCTGCCTTCATCCGAGCCGTAGCTGCTCTGAGATGTAGCCTTCGCCGCCGCGTCGGGACATCGGGGTCAGAAGGATCCAGCTCCGGGTTGCGGAGCTGCTCGTTCAAGGAACCCACGACCACAGGCGACAGATACCTGAGAACACAACACCGTGAAGGCTCCCGCTGCCTTCCTTCCCTCTATCTGCTGCCCGACTTCCGTCACCACCGCCAGAAACTCACCGGCCTCTCCCAACGCCAGTCCAGCAGGGTGCCGCCTCCTGCGAGAGGTCTGCCGCCATGCGGGAGTCCCCACACACCGTCACGGGCAATCCGGCCCAGAAGCCCCGCACGCGGCCAACTCTCTCGCGGAGCTCCCCTACCTGCGCGATGGAAAACAAAGCTGCAGCGCGTCCAGCGCGGTCGTGCCACACCCACCTGCACCCGCAGCTCCTCTACACACCAGGCGGTGCAGATTAGTGCCCGCCGCCGTTGTCGGCCGTTCTTCCTCGGCTGCTGCCCTCCACGAGCGGCTAGCCTCTTCTCGGGGCGCTGGTGCTCGGCGGTTACGAGACTGCATTGGATGCGGGGTCCCGCATTCCTGAAATACCTGTGCACAGGAAAAGACCCCAACACAGCCACTCTGAAGCAAACCACACTATGCCCCACCCCCGAGTCTACAGTCTCCCGACATGACCTATTGTCTCAGACACCCACACCGTAAGCCACACCTTACCTCTACCCTTCTACCCTTCCCTCTCTATACCTTGGCTGACACCTTTACACTGTTTTCCTGCAGGTGCATCAAACCTTCTGAGATCTTCACCCCAATGGACTCAGCAGCCAGCTCAAAGGAAAAGGGTCCCTGGAGTTTCTCAGCCAACAGCAGGAGACCATCTTGAGGGAAGGGAAGGGGAAAGAGAAAGTAGAGGGTATGCACTGAACCAGGGCATTCCTACAAATCTCACTACCGCCTTAGGAAAGAGCAATTTGCTTGCGTGGAGATGGTGTTTGTGATTAAATGAGAAGCCCCCTCCCTTTTACTCCCCCGCCCCACTTTGGTTTTAGGCCACCCTCTCCTTACACAAATGGTCCCCAACCTTACTCAGGGCCCTCCTCCACTACTCGGGCCCTCCACTTTCTTGAGCCCCCTCACCCAGATATGCGCCCCATTCAGGCTCCAGTCCCCTGCTGCTGAGGCAGCCATGGGCCACATTGAGGCAGAAGCCCCGACAGGGCATAAGTGAGGGGACTCCCCGACAAAGTGGGCAGCCGATCAGACGCATCAGGGCCTGCCTGCAGCCTTCCAACACCGGCACCTGGTGGGTAGAGAATGGGTCTGGGCATCCATGAACACCTAGGCTGCCTTAGCATGCCTGGTGCTAGGCATAGAGAGACCAGAGATCCTGACCCACCTCCCCAGGGTATTTGTCGGAAGCTGGATGTGAGCAACTGTGGCTGGTGACCCCATATGGCATCCGGTGACACCACCAGATGCTACAGGGCTGGGCTGCGAAGGGGAGTACCCAGTGGCAAGGTTGCTGATTCTATTTCACGAGAAGTGTTTGACTAGGGTGTTACTGGGGAGGAAGTGGTAAGGAGAGATTCAGGGCCAAGATGACTGAGGAGAGACAAGGGAGACAGGAGATAAGGTTAGGACAGGACCAGGGATGCAGCAAGGTCTTCAGCCGCAGGGAGGAGGGGGGGGGCACCGAGGGGATTATCACAATCTTGAACCGCTATGGAAATGAACAAGCCCTCCACCACAGGTAGAAGATGTCACCAGAGGGGAGGGTCAGAGACCCAGTGGAGGCCTGACCCTGGCCTGCCTCCCTAATATACCCTGGAACATCAGAGCCCAGGAGCAGACAAGGGACAGCTCCAGGCCTCTCCCGCCAGCTGGTGTCTGTCTTCTTCACTCTCTGAGCTTTGTCCATTTCAGGTCCCCACTAACCTTAAGGGCTTCACTGACCACATTTCTTCCGGTCTCCAGACCCTGGACCAAGGCCCGGGCCGCTACCAGTGCCCGGGTTACCTGGGAAAAAGAAGGTGAGGGGGGAAAAGAGCCACAAAAATTATTATGAGTTAGGCAAGGGTTGGGTTTGTAGGGTTAAGTTGGGGTGGGTACACTGTTGGGTCACGTAAGAGGGAGGTTCAATAGCTCCAAAGAAATTATCGTCTAGGAGTATTGGGTGTTTGTGAAGAGCTGGTAGGGTTGTATGGAACAATGTTTAGAGCTAGACTGTGTATCAGAACACTGAACTTAGAAGGAGGTGTGGAGTCTGGCATTACTACTCACTGACTATGAGACTTCCTTGGGAGCCCCATTTTTCTCCTTTATAAAGTAAGGATGCTCTTATTTACCTCAAACAATTATGGTGACAATCCAATGTGATACCATGGACTGCCCAGCTTATGTTTAATTGAACCACAGGAAATCACTGTGTAAGACACAAAGACGAACTAGCTGGGGATGGAGGGCCAAGTGAGTATATAAAAGTAGGGCAAAGAATGAGGGTGGGCATGTAGTTAAAGGAGACCAAGGGGCACTGGTCAGGCATAGGTGACCAAGACTTGAGAAGGGGATCACCAAGTCAGAGAAAGGCTGAGATGTAGGGCATAAGGTCAGAGGTGACAGGGGCACAAAACGGGAGTCTGTCTTGGAGATGAAGGTTCATAAATTAGGACACTAGGTCAGAAGCTGCTGAAGCTCAGGTCGTGGGACCCCCTCACCTGTAGGCGAAGGCGGCGGGGTGAGTCCCCGAAGGGCTGCAGAGAGCCATCAGCAGTAGAGGTGAGCCGAGTAAGGCAGAGCAGGAAGTCAGGAGGAAAGCTGTACTGGGGGTGCAGCAAAGGGAAGGCTCTCTCCAGAAGCTGTGCCCAGAAATCCGCCAAGGTGTCATCTAACCCCTCGCCAGACTTCTCATAGTAGTCCCGCAGGCCAGAGAACAGACTATTGAAGATGGTGGCGTGTTGGGAATACAGGCGACCATAGGAATGCGAGAAGAGCTGGGCCAAAGAATGCTGGGATATGGACAGCATCTCCCGAAAAAACTCTGACAAAGGTGGAGGGATGAGAAGAGGGAATAGGGAGGGGGAGAGCAGAGACAGGGCAGAGACCAGAGGGAGTGAGGAAAAGAAGAGGCAAAAGAGTTAGAAAACTGAGCAAGTCAGAGATCTGGCAGACTAGGAATGAGCAGGGCAGGGGCCTGGAGAGAATGCAGAGTGGGAATTGTAAGCGGGCAGGATTGGGCAGTTGGGGAGAGCTCTAGGGTGACTGCAGGAGGTGGGGACAGGGGCTGGGCGGGAATCATCAACATAAAGGGGCGTGGAACCCATTTGGAGACCCCCCAAAGGTCCTCACCATTAAACTTTCTATGCCGGGCAGCGAGTGTGTGAGTCAGGAAGGAGCCACTGTCCTCCACCAGGCCACGGAAGGTGACCTCAGCATCCCTGATCAACTTCTGCTCCGTCTCACTGGAACAGCAGGTGTATTCCTGAGGACAGATCTGAAGGTGCTCACCTGGGCAGAGGAAACGGGGAGGAACAGTGGACAGCGAGACGGGATATTAGGATTTCCCTCCATCTCCCACCTGTCTCAAGGGGCTGGTCATTCTCTTCCACCTGCCTGGCCGCCTATTTCTTTGTCTGCCCCTTCAGCCCTACCTGAACCCTCCTTTACTGTCCCTCGCCCACCCCAGTTCACCCCTATTTGTCATGGGATCATCTATTTGACAGCTGCCTCGAGGGTCAAATTAGTGACCAGGGTGTCTTCAGGTGACTCTTTCCAACACGGCAGACGCCACGCCTCCAAGGATTAATGGGACATCCATGGAATGAAGAAGGGAGTTTGTAGGGGTGGGGCTACTTGGTGAGCAAAAGTATTATTATAAAAGAAGCTCACAGAAATCGAAAGGGAATTCCTGGCTGCAAAGAAAGCCACTAACGGGTATGCTAATTACAGAGAGGGAATTCCTTGGGTGGGGATTGAGCGAGCGCTATTATGTGAGCAGCGGGGTTCTTGTGATCCTGGTAAGGAAGTTACAGGAGGAGAAGAAAGATGCCTACGAGATGAGACAATTATCACAATGGTCACTGAAAGGAAGGAATCATTGTGAGACGGGGAGGACCCGTCTCCGCCCCCACCCACCCCTGACTTTTTAGTCTTCCTCTTTCTTCTCACCTGAGATGAGGGAGGGAGGGATGAGATTTAAGCTATATCCCCGGGCTCCCAGCACCTGCCGAGTCTCTGCACAACTCCGGACGACCTTTGCCTCACTCCCAGGTCCTGGACCAGGGCCGGGACACAGAGGGAGCAGCAAAAGCAGGAGAGGACGCAGCGCGGACATAGCTGCTCTCCTCCCTGGGACGGGGCAAAGTAGGTCCTAAGGAGGAAAGAAGAGTCCACAGAACTCTTTAGAATTCCTTTCTCGGCCGCGGGACGTCTCGAAGAACAGAGAAAGAGCGTGCCCCCCAAAACTGAGCAACCCCAGCACGGTAGCAGGACCAGGAGGCATCTGCGGAGACAATGGGAGCCAGGGAGCGGGACAGGGGGCGGGGCCCGAAGCGGGGGCCCGCCAATGATGAGAAGAAACCGGCCTCGGGGGCGGGGTCAGGGGAGAATTGAAGCCAATGTGGAAGGGGAGCTCGGCAGGGGGCGGAACGCGGTCGCACAGCGGAGGTTGTAGAGGTGGAGGGGGCGGGAGAATGTGTGATGTGGCCTTGAGGAGGGGCGTGGCTTTCTCGCTCGAAAGGCGGGGCTTGCGTGAAACTGAGCCTATTGCAATTGAGAAGCCGGACTGAAGGCAGTAGCAGACCGCTCAGCCAATGGAGGGGGGCAGAGGGGCAAAGGAGGCGTGGCTAGGGTGGAGCGACCCGCAGGCGCTCGAACCCACGTGACAGGAATGCATGCCTCACGCTTGGTGGCTGCTCGAAGCACAGCGCGCCGTGTGACTGGAACGTGTTCAGCACGAGTTTGCGCTCCCCCAAATCTCGCGACACTTCTCAGCCGCGCGAAGAACAGTTAATCTCGCGCCTGCGCACAGCGGATCTTGTGCCTTCCCGCGTTTTTCGAGACTTATTAGTCCGCCACCTGAGGAGGAAAAGCTGCGGCAGCGGGCGTCTCTATTAGAGGCGGGATGTCCACTGAGGCCTGAAAGGACCCCGGAGGTGGTGGCCTTTCTTCACGCGTGTGCATCTAGAGGTCACTCATCCATCACCAACAGTGAGGTTGCCCTTTTGAACCCACAATTAGGCCGCATTCCAACCCTCCTGCCCCTCTGCCCCTCGGTCCTCGGCACCTCTGTGGGGTCCACTGTGAAAGCCCCGGAGAGACGAGTCGTCTCCCAAAGGGAAGCCCCCCTCAGTTCGAATAAGCTTTCTGGGGTCGGCCTTAGCCGGTGCTTTCTGGAAACAGAACGTGCACTCTCCTTTACCCTTCAAAATGTTTCCGGCCTAATTCAAGGGACACCTCTATCTATCTCCAAACCATCCAGAGCTCCAGGAGACGATTTCCAGAAATGGAAATCTGAGGTGCACTGCTGAGGTTGGTTTTTGTCAGCTAAGCCTCATTCTCTCTCTCTCTTTTTTTTTAAGCCTTATTCTCTTACTCCAGCCAGTTTATGGCCGCCCCCCTCTCCCTCCAGTGAAAGGGATTCATGCCTATAGCTGCTCCGGTGTGTAAACCTTCTTATTTATTAGCCTATTTATTTATTTATTTGCTTGTACTGAAGATTGGACCCCAAGTCTTAAACGTGTTAGCCTAGCCTTCTACAACTCAATTATAATCCCCAGGACTCTCTCTCTCTCTCTCTCTCTCTCTCTCTCTCTCTCTCTCTCT